TCAAGAGCTGAGTCCGCATTAAAGCACTTCATGATGCTGGATCGTCTCTGACACAAACAGGGAAAGACATAAAGTGTTCTCACAGTGTGGTCAAGTGTGCTTTGATGTCAATTTCTGAGGTTGGTAACTTACAAAATGCACCAAGGAAGAGGCAGGAAATGAAAGTTGACTGACGCAGATGTCAGACACCTACTGGAGACAGAAGCAAGACCACTTCTGATCTTCAGGCAGAGATGAAAGCTTCTCGATCAGAGTCTGAGAAAGTCTCCAGATTGACCGTAAGCAGACAACTGATGGAACAAGGCTGAAAAGGAAGGATAGCTGCTAAGAAGCCATTATTGAGGCCTGCAAAACATCCAGAAACTCCTCAGATTTGTCAGAGAGCACAAACGCTGGACTGCTGATGACTGGAAGAAGGTACTCTGGACGGACGAGTCCAACTGTTCGGTCAGCGTCGTCGTGTTTATGTCTGCACTGAACCCACAGTGAAACACAGTGGAGAGTCCATTATGGTATGGGGTTCCATTGGTGGAAACAGAGTGTGAAAATTAGTGAAAACCGACAGTATCGTGACAAAGAACGTATACAACAACGTCTTAGTGCGTCATAGAATCCTTTCTGGACTGAATCTGATAACCAACAAGACAATGAGCCCAAGAATGTTTCAAAGAGACTATTTGAACAAGATAAAGGAACTGATGGACTGGCCAAGTCAAAGTCCGGACGTGAATCCTATTGAACAAATGTGGGATGTAGTACATTCAAAGATTGATCGCGCAAACATTACATTTAAAGCAAGTTTTTGGGAACAATGAGACACTATTCGGAACTCAATAACAAAAGAGGCTGTCGAAATGTACATAAAAACAACGGCAGCAAGAAGCAAGCTGTTATCAAGGCCACAGGAGGTCATACAAAATATGAAGTTTTTAAGTTATTAGGTATAAAAAAAGACTATTTAGTTGTTTGTTTGTTACCTGCCACATAAATAACAACATTTTTAGCTTTCAACAAGTATTTCTAAAATATTCATGCTTTTTCATGACAGGTGGTCGAATAAATTCATTACTTTGTGACAAGAAAATAAAAGGATTTGTAAATGAAAATCATGCTTGGACATCGTTTACACATTTATTTAAAAAAACAACAACAACAACAAACAAACATCAGCTGACATGGTGTGAAACACTAAAGAGAGCTCACATCGTAAACACCCATTTATTCTCGCGTTCAGTCATTCACACGCTCCCTTGCACATCTATTATTTTTCTTCACGCTACTTCAGATATTTAGTCCTTTGACTTTATGTACACATGAAAACAATGCAACACTTTGATTTACACCACACCTCGATGACATCATCATCTCCTGTTTTATATTTCAATCATTTCAACTCCATTTAAAATATCGCTTCTGGGATTGTGTTTTCACATACGCTTCATGCAGTTAATGAATTCCTAAGTGGCAGAAGCTGTCGTTTTTCAAGTGGCTATTTGGACTCATTTGAAAACTTTAACTAATCATTAACCAAGAATCCAATGTAGAAATTCCTAAAGCGTCAGTTTGGTAAAAGGAAACTGATCTCTGTTGTGCAAACCGATGAAATAACGGAACAGATTTTATTTTATTCTAATCCTACTATTTACTGCTTGACTGTCAAAACTATCACAAACTTATTTCTTCTTTAGGTAAAGCTTGAAAGCTGCTGAAAAAAAAAGAAACAAAAACAAAAAAAACAGTGAGCCCTACTTGGTGATCAGTAGACTAAAATTCAAAGCCTGCCCTTGTGGTTCTTTTCTTCAGTGTGTTTTTATACTAGAGTCCATAGGTCAGCTCCCAGTTACTGCCTGGGACTCATTCAACAGCTTTTCTTGCTCCTGTTAACACACTTGACCGCAGTTCAAGAGGTTACTGTCAGCCAGTTGTGTTCACGAGAATAAATTCTACAACACTGTAAGAGGACTGATAAAAAACAGACACAAAATACTCAAAAACTACTAAAAAGTAATGCCAAAAAAAAAAAAAACACAAAGTGCACGCAAACATCTCTGAACTGAAAACGGTGCTGTTGTTTCACAGCATGAGCTCAACTTTGCTGCGTAACGAAATGCTGACAAGGCAGATCTAATGCCACCTATAAATATCATCTCCGAAATAAACTTGATGCCCTGCACATGTATACTGTACATCACAGATGAACATGCAGCATTTGCTAATAATGTATTACTGCTAATACGTACACGTTTTCTGTGGCTGTGGTCACATACATTTTAAACGTCACATTTTGTCACATTCAAAAAACACTTCAATCTCTTGTGGATGTATCTGACAAACGCTGCTTGGAGAGTTGTTTGTCCACTCATAGAGCTGATAAGACTCTGAGGCAAGTGTTTTTAGTAGAACTGTGTCCTAATCCTAATGCAACCCAGTGTTTCTTCTCATTCTTTCATAGTAAAAAAACGCTGACTTTTGCTGTTCGGCACCTGTGAGCTACGAGGTCAAAAACCCAGAGCCCATCACTCTAAACGTTCTCATAAACCTTTTAACTGTACTGTTGTAAGAAGTTAACTGTCTGCCTGGAGGTCGGATGTCTCATAGCAGGCGACAGAAATTCACAGTAGTCTTTCTCTTACGAATCTGTCAACAAGCAGCTCTTTTCCTCATGGCTGTACTCTTGCTGCCTTTGAAGAAACAGGTAATCCTAAACCATTAAAAGCAATAAAAGGTAGGCCTTTTTTTCCTACCTCATTTCAAGAACATCGAGAGTTTCTGCAGGCTTGGGTTTGACATCGGATTTACTGTCCTCTGTCTCCTGAACTTTCCTAGTCACCTTTGGGCTAGAATTTGCCTTTCTAGGCATCTGAGGGCTGTGTCCTTTTCGCTGAAGCTGCGGGCTGCCAGACGTCAGCTTGCGGTTGAGCAGGGGGCTTCTGGAGCCCTTGATCTTGGTGGGCTGCTGCAGACTATCCACAGTCTTGAGCGGGCGCAGGCCAAGAAGTCCACAGTAGTAGTTGCACTGATGCTGTCCGAGGAACTGTTCGAATACTTCGGGAGAGGCTTGCTCAGTTAATCCTTGGTATCTGAAACACAGGAGGATTTACTCGTTCTACTACAGTTACTCTTATAATACCATAAAAGCCATAACATTCGCATGTAGTGACTGAGGTACAAACCCTTTTGACTTGGTCACAACTTGAACATTTGTAATCTTTGATTCCACACCTACAAAAAAAAAAAGAAGAAAATCTTTAATATTTGTGATTGCACCTTACAGATACACTAAACGATTGCTATCTTGATAACCTTGTATGTGCGACTTACCCTCAAGCTGAGTGACCAGCAAATTTCCATGCGTCCACTGATGGATCCAGTGCTGGAAGGCGCTGCATTTCTGCTCTAGCTCAGAAACGTTTTGTGAAATCAACTTGCCTTTAGGATCCATCTCACAATACTTAAGGAAGACACCTGTGAGATCAGCCTCCACTGAGGCATACGGCACAGAGTTTGCAGGCCGGTACATCAGATACCGAGGGATCACCCTGCGGGCAACATAAAATAGTAGCGGGAGGATCAGAGGCAGTGTTTATTGGGAGTCAATCATCTTTACTGTAAAATAGATGTGATGCTTACTCTAGCGAACAGCCAAAGTTCTCAATAACTCTCGCCTCAGCCGCAAAGATTTTACAGTATTCTCGAATCATGTTTTGGACTTTGCATTCCTGTCAAAACAAAGATTTTAATCAAGCAGGAGTATGCACTGCAGCTATAATCACGAGGAATTTATTAAGCACAATTCATCGAAGATTCTTACACTGTAGATCCGTACTCACTTGCTTAGTAATTTCTAGGTTTCTCTCTGCAAGGTTGCTCTCCTGTTTGGTCCCATAGGCGATGGGGTTTTGAACTTTGATGATGCAAGCACTTCCGGACTCGAAGATCGGGTCGAGGCCGTAAATGACCTTCACCCTGCTGGCTTTGTGAGCGCAGCCCTCTCCCATGTGCACCGTCTCGGTCATGATTCGGCCAAAGTACTTGTCACCCCAGGTGCCGCAGTCGGCCAGGCCTCTGGTGAACAGCATTGGGGTCATCTCTATCTCCTCTCCAACTAAAGTTAAAACAGAAATAGAGGTGCTATGAGTAGGAATTTATAGAAACTAAAATCGGATGTGACACATAGCTTATTACACAAAAAATACCTTCCAAATCATCTTTTAGTAGTATTTCAGACAGAACTGTAAAAGAGAAAACACATAAATAATTATTAAGTTTTAAAACAACTGATGTAGAAAGTGTCAAACTTTTCCACGCATGCTGTATCTTACTGTCAATGCTGAGCAGGTAGTCAGTAGTGTCAGTCCCGTAATCATTTTTGATCGTACATCCATAAACACCACAGTCTTGGCTGGATGCCAAAACAATAGCCAGTGCTACTTGGCTTTCATCTCCTCCACTTGGGGACAAAAGAGTAAAAAACACATCATCATGAACAGGTCAGGTTGAAATGCTCGTCAGACTTGCACCTATTTTCAAAGATTCACAAACCACCCACTAGGTGTCACTGTGAGACAGATGGTCACACTGTGTGGCAGCAGTGTGCTGACACAGCAACCATTAGCACATTTATAGACTTTTAATGCACCCTGGAGATGGGAAAATATTGTGTCGGGTTACAGTTTCTGTGTCTAGCCAGAGATTCACCTCTCTGTGTCACAGCTGTGGGGTTCACAGTCACATGAGCTGGACATCTCTGCAGTGAGAATATGAGAATGACAGAAGACCAGGGGTTGCACTCTGAGGCCCAAATAAATCCTGCCCATCCTCGTAGTGAATTATTGTTTCATATTTGGAACCTGTCCGCTTTTACCCGTCATTTTGGCTGGAAATCCTCAGAATAATAGCAATAGAGAAGGTGGAAAGTAATTCTGTCATTACCTAGAACAAAGTGAACATGTGACATTGTGGTTACAGGTGGTGTTGACAAGAAAATGCCAGATCGTGAGGGGATTTACCTTCTCTTCATCTCTAGTATTTCCTCTTCATCTTTGTACCACTTAATGGTGGAGTCACTGAGTACGTTGAAAAACTGGCACCACAGCTTCAGGTGTCCTGAGGCATCTGGGAATGGCTCTCCCCTGATCTTACGGATAACCTGCGGCGCTGGTGGTGCATGACAGAGGGAGGGGGCAAGGTAAACATATACCATACTGGAGAGTAGAGACCTTCTGACGTTTCCTCTTCCTCAAGTGCCCGTGTACAGTATTTCACATGACCTTGGGTATTGTGTTTTGCAAAAAATATGTTGAATATGCCACACTGTGGCCTGCCATTGAACAGTTGTATACATATTAAGTAATATGATTAAAATCTGTTGTGTTTACAGATATTACATTCTGCAAACAAGTTGACTCTCAGCTCTTATTGAAAAACACACAACTTTTCCCCACATCATTATACCATTACAAGATAAAAACTGAGTTATTGATTCTTTACCTTTCAGTGGGTCTATCTTCTTTTCAGCTGGTTTCTCCTCTCGCTTGTTGCCAGCTGGCTCTTCTGTCGCAGTCTGCTCCACGACCTTTGGCACCTCCAAAGTGGCCTTTCTGCGACTGAGCAGCGGGGAGCGTCTCTCCATCGGTGGGGTGCTCTGACCTGTGGAGGCCTGCAGTAATGCTGCTCTGCGAGCCTGGCTGGGTGACATGTAGGGGTTCTCCTTCTTGCCTTGAGTATCTAGTGCACCAAACACCGCTATCTCTACATCATCTTTATTTTTTGGGAAGAAGATTTTGCGTCGGGCTCCAGAGGCCAGCTCCTCGGGAGTGGCGGACCGTATCAGCGTCAGACTGTCTCTGCGTTTCAGCCTGGGACTGCTTTCACAGGAGAGGGATGATGTTGGCGTCGAGCCTCCACTGAGGTCTTCCTCCGTCTTGTCACCCACAGCGCTTACGCGGCCGGTTGTGCCAGCCTCATTGTCTGAGTCCGGAGCAGCTTTGGACATAAATTTGCGGAGACTGGCTGGACTCAGTGATGGATATGCCGGGGGTTTGGAGCTGAGCCTCTCGACAGAAAATCTATTTTTTTGGAGATCTTCAACAGACATAGAATTCTCCATCTTTAGGGATTTTGGCTTCAAGTTTTCATCCTCTGTTGTTTTATTGAATGATGGCACACTGTCACCGACTTTTGGTATTAGAGCTTCATATAACATAGTGGGAGTATTCTCTTTAATACTCTTTTCTGACATTTCCTCCAGATCCTGTCTTCTGCTCTGACTTTTCTCAGGCTTCGTGGTCATATTATTGCCAACATCATGCTTTGTTCCCTGTTGTGTGCAAACTGAAGTTTCTGTTTCTGTTGACTCGCTCTGAGTGGGCAGTCTGGGTTCAGGATCACTTTCATGACAAGTGACAGAGATTGGTGGCACCACAAACGAAGGCACCTTTGGAATTTCAAAAGCTGGCTGTGCATGTGAATCATGACTGTTTTCAAAAGCATCAGCCTCCTTTTCATCGGTACATGAAACATTTATGACAGGAATCGATGCATAGTCCATCTGAGGGAGCTGTTCGCTGCTTTTCTCATGTGGCTGCTGCTGTTCAAGCGTGTCCCTCTCGTCATCGCATTGAGCAACTTCCTTGACTTTCTCCGTAGGTGAGAGGTGGTAATTATTCTGCATACCTTCCTGCGTGGGAAGCAGGCCTGGAGAATCAGCCAGACTCTGGTCTTGGATTATTATCTTTGACTCATGAGTTACATCATGGTCTTGCAAATTACTTGTCTCTGGCTTGTTTAGTGCCAAAATAGTTAGTGGCAGAGTGCACTCTTTTAACTCAGGCTCCACTATTTCAATTTTTGGGATTATGAAAGGTTCATTTGGCCTCATATCTGGCTCAGGTGGTTTAATATCTGTGATGTCTTCAAAAGTAGATATTTGGATTGGGGGGATATTCTTTAAGGGCCAGTCATGCTGTTTCTCACTGCTGTCTTGAAGTGCATTATTACTGTGTTCCTCCAAAATAGCAGTATTTCTTCCTTTGCTTTGTTTCACTGAAACGATCTCTGATTCATCCAACTTTTCTTCCTTTTTTAGAGTTCTACTTTCTGTCGCGACTTCAGGCAGTAAACTCTCATTCCTCCCTTCGTTGCTCTCACCCTCCAGAACTGCTTGCTCTTGTGTTTTTAGACTGTTACACAAATTACTTTCTAAATCTTTCTCTAGTGCGGAACTCAGTATTTTGTTCAATTCACACCTCTCCTCGCTACTAGTAAAACCTGAGTTTGAACTTTGCATTGCATTGACACTGCCTGTGATTTCCCCTCTGTCAGAAGGTGTGCATTCATGCTGCATTTTTAGGTCACCCTTCTCTAAACCCTCCGGGTCTGCAGTGGGCGGAAATCCTACATTCATTTCCTGAATCAGTGAAGTACATTTGGTCTCTTCATTTACATGATCTCTCGCTGCACTGCATGCCGCCACAGCAGAAAGGGGTGAAAGCACCTGATCTGTTGCTTTAGACTCACATGGCTCTATTCTATCTTCCATCGAACACCTTGTTATTTCAGTAATCTCAGATCTGTTTATATCTGAGAATGGATGGCTATTTGATTTCACTTCAGCTTTCTCTTCCTCACACAACTTGTTAGAAGAAGGGGCCTCCTCTGCTTTTGGTTCACCTTCCCTGCCCACATTATCAACACTCAACTCCTCTTCCTGCAAAGTTTCAATGGGGGCCTCTCCAAGCTTGTGGTTAAGTGTCGTTGAGACAACACTGTGAGGGGGAGTCCAGCCATCTTCTGAACTAGCAAGGGTGGATGTGGGGAGGGATTCTTCGTCAGATGGGGCTTGGGTCTGTGGCAGGACAAATTTATCTTCCCTTGGTGAAGACTCAGCTCTTGCACCCTGCTGATTAGGCTGTGCTGAAGCTACCAGGCATTCTGGCTCTTGCTGGTGCACAGGAACCTCTTTGATAACTGAGACAACCTCTGCGTCTTTCTTTTCAGCCTGATTGAAAGTAAACAAAAAAAAGCATTTTAGAACTTCACACCATTTGCAGCTGCAGCAGTGTTTGTCTTTCACACTGAAGTCTGAACATGCTTCATGTGGCTGGTTTTGATTCCTACGGATGTGAAATATTTTTACCCGTTTGATTTATTAGTGGCAAAGACACTGTACCCCCGCAGTGGAAAAAAACCTAAAACATTCAGTGCCATGTTAAGGAGTTTAAAGTATTTTTAAGAAGCTTGTTACAGTGAACTTACAGCAGTGACCTTTGACAGTGTGACACATTTAGATCGAGACAAACTTTTCTGCCATAAATCAACAGAAGCACTGACAGATTCGCTTGATATTGCAAAGCAGTCAGACATCCTCGATACTGAGAACTGGACTGAGTCAGTTCACAAAGCTAGTGAGTTATTAGTTAACTAGACAGTAAACAGTCGACAAATATGTGAAGCGACTACAGTGTGTCAATATATTCTTCTGGGTTATGGCCTGTCAGCGTATTTCAGGAACTTTTTTTTTTAACCTCCTATCACGTGCAAGGAAGGTGAAACCAAGTGTTTACACACGTGACGCTACAATAAAATGCATGTTTTTGAATGAAAAAGTGTTAGCCATTTTGTATTCACTTTTTATTTCTCTGGTTTAATTTAACTATTTTATTCTTGGTGAGACAGACAAAACCAGTTAAAAAAGAAAAAGGAAACAAGGAAAAACACAATGACTGCCTCCAACTTGTGCTTGTGAGCCAGGCCTCTCATGCTCACATACAGACAGGGGAATTCCCACATGGCTGACTTAGGTGTGCTGTTTACACAAAGCACTTGCTGGGCTCTGAATGAATGACAGCTTGTCTGTTGGCAATAGACCAGCCATAACATGCATGACACACCAGTAATCTGTTCAGGCATTGAAGTGTTGGGTAACATAAACTGTAACTGACAAGGAACAACATAACCTGATTTTGATGGGCGAAAATCTCAATCATAATATTCATGAAAAAGTATTCATTACATTTGAAAATTCATTGTACTGCAGAGAGGATTTACAGATCCAGCTACATATGGAGTCTGCTTGGGGTGGGCTCCTGTTTTTGCTGCTCGCATCGTAAAAAGTGATGCAGAAGAGTGACGCAGTCACGTGTCTCCTCGTGACAGCCTGTTTGGGCAGCAGTATCTGCTAAGAAAAAAAGAAGTTGCTGCTTTCGATGGAAGGGAACTGGATGGTGTCACATTCAGTCTAAAAATGAAGCTCTGGCCACTGCTATGGCTCTGTGTGTAAATATGTGTCACGCTCATGTGGGAAAACATTGCTGAGATCAATGGCTTGACTTCCTCTGGTTACTAATCTGTAAAAGCTGTACATTGTGCCACAACCAAAGCGAAAGCCCAGTTGTAGTTCCACATTATGGACTTATAATCGCTTTGCAGGTGGATGTTCAAACATAGCTCAGTTCTGTTTTCCACATATCACTTAAGTGAACATTAAAAGGTACAACTGGCAAACAAAAACAATCATAAGCTCAGACTTTGTTTGGATTTTAAGAAATTATATGATCTTAACTGCAATAATAAAAATCTAACTTTCAGTATTATCTTGACAAGGCTTAAAATAACACAAACTTTCTTTAATTGTCATTCTTTGCAACTTTGTCCTTAACATTTTAGCAATTTATGATATCTGCACCTTAAACCATCCAACAACTTTAAAAGGAAAGAGTTTATGCTTATCACTATTTAAGCGAATATTAATTTAATATGGCTAGGTGCTACTAAACTCAGACGATTAGATCTCATTAAAGAAAGAGCTTCAGTTAAAGTCTAAGAATTGGGCCGTCAAAATGTTGCACCTCTTTGTTTCCCTTGTATTTAAAATAATTTATGTAAAAGCAAAAAAGACTGATTACTTCATAGAAAGCCATGATAAAGATCAAAACTGAAAAGCCAAGAGTCTGACAGCACACGCAACTAAATCAGCGCAACCTCAACCTCAAAAGCAGCCTTTCAACAGACGTAAAAGAATTCTCCAAGGTGAGGTGACGGCAGTACTGCCTTCCTCCCTCGGCTCTAGATGAGGAAGAGGTCTATTTTGAGATATGGGCAGGGGAGGGTAGTGAGGAATGCGTCCAGTCCTTTCATGCTGAGACCTGCCGCAGCGCTCGCTCTACTACCGCTCGTCCAGGCCACATAGCCCTCTGTCATGCAAAGCCCTGTTTGTAACGTGAGAGCCACTTCTGACATTCAGTTTCATCATGATCTCTGACGCACTGGTGTCCCGCTCATCGCAGCCAACATCTGAGATATTCTGCATTCTCTAATACAGTGTGCAGTGTAGACACACAACATCCCCCACCCCCACATTTTGTTTTGTAGAAGCTGTCTCAAGGTTCCCTCATTTGTCCCACACTATCTTGTTTGGCTTGTCAGTCTTCAGTAATTTCGGCTCAGAAAAAACCACAGTTCCACACGGCCAGGCTGACTCACTCCACCGGTGGCTGATCGTTGATATTATACTGTATGTTTTAAAGTGGTTGTATCTTTTGACTGTCGCACAAAAATAACATCTAACCATGACCTTTCATGTTTCTTATCTACCACTTTTAGAACCAACATCAGCTCAAAGTCTGATCTTTGCACAGTTTAGGCTTTGGACTTGAAGTAACATATACTGTGCTATGTCTTGTCACACTCCTCGCACTTACCTCAGTGAGAACTTGAAGCCCAGTCAATGACATTTCTTGCCTGGCATCGCTGCCCTCTGGTGCCACAGTCACCTCCATGGCCTCCGCAGCATCATCAGCCTCTGTCACACTCTGCTCTGTGGACTCCTTTACACTCTCAGGTGGCAATTTATGAGCTGGTGGCAGGTTTGTGTGTACAACACTGTCTTCATACTTAAATTTATGTGGTTCGACCGACACTGACTGTTGTCCTACATCCACAGTTTCTGAAGGCTCCTTGGGTTTATCTATTTCCATCGACACAACTTCCTCTGTGAGAGAATTGCACACCTCTGGATCGTGTTCCGCTTGCAGCCGAAATGATGGCGGCATTTCTGGTTGAAGAGGCTGCGCTGAGTCGTGTGAGTAGTCAAACTCTCTTTCTTCACTCTCAAAGTGATCATGAGAGCCTTTCTTAGTCTTACCAAAGAAGAAGTCTTTGACTGTGTGGAGCATTGAGGATATGGAAGTCTGGATGTTGTGGTGGTCGTGATCCTTATGACCCTTGCTGTGATGTTTGACTTCTGGACCATGTTTGCCATGGGCCGCTGTATGCAACACCTCCAGCTGCCTTTCTCTTTCTTTCTCTCTTTCTACAACCAATTCCTCTTCTCTTCTTTTCTCTTTCTCGAACTCCTCCTGTAATGCCTTTTCCTGCTCCTCTGTCTTTTTAAGCATCTTTTCTTGATCCCTCTCTTTCTCTTTATTAACACTTGACACAACTGCTGTATCCATCTCTTTAGGATTATCCACTCGAGATGTGTTCTGTTTCTCCTCAGCAGTCTGGGACTGGAGTGTCTCTGCTAAAAACTGTGCCAAACTGATTCCTCCATCATAACAGTTTTCCCCTCCGTTCCCCATGACATGGCTTCTGCTGCTACTGCTGCTGTTAACCCCGACATCTACACCATTTGACATCTTTATTCTCTTTTTAGCCAACATTTCCTCTGATGGAGATGTTTCATCCTTCAGACTTTCCTTGACTTCTGGGCTAATTCCATTAGGTTCTGCAGCAGCTCCCAGTTGCTCCACAGCCAGAGAGTCTTTGACCGCTGCCTTCTCCTTTGGTGGAGGGACAGATCGCTTTCTTGGAGGGGGCTCTGGGCTACTCTGCGGTTTCTCTTTCTGAATGTTTTCTTTATCCTCCTTTTTGGTAGGCTCCTCCAGGTCTTTTTTCTTCTTTTCTGCTTTTTGCTTCAGCTTAGCAAAGAACCGCTGGTGGATCTGGAACTCACTCATGGTGCCGACCTCTAAAACTCCAGAGCAGGAGACAATGCCTTTACTATTGCTGGCTGAGACCTGATAGATGGCGGCGTCGTCCAGCGTGCAGCTGTAAACAGAAACACACATCAGTCTCATATTACAGGTATTCTAGTAATGTTAAATAAACAAAAAGCTACATTTCAACTTATTTCAATGGATGTAACATAGGATTATTACAAGGCCGTCTTACATACTTGTAAATATGAAGAGTGTGGGTTTTTCCATTTTTGCGAATTTCATATTTTGGGAGCCCACAGTACCGGTCCATTTCCATATCATCTTTATACCATTTGAGTTCTGGAGGTGGGAGACCTACAGACATGGATATACTATAATGAACTAATAATAAAAAAACAAATACTCCTTGTGCCACAATGTGCTATTTATGTATTTTTAATTGCAAATATGAGACAGTATGTGCATAAATATCCTCTTCTGTGATAAGCTAAGTGGAAAATTATGCAGTAAGCAAAAAAGTGTTTTTGACTGTTGCATCATGTTTATGATGTGTCACACTGGAACAGCTGCTGCTGTTGGATTGGCCCACCCATGCAATCTGCCGGCAGTTAAAAACATGACATCTTGAAAAACCAGCTGCTGTCTGCTGCGTTTAAGAAGCAGTTCAGGAAGAGTGACACAGTTCATTTGGTGCCTCTAAAGTGAAATCTTTCCTTTGTTTTCAGATTAGTCACATCCTGTCTTCACATCAAAATCAATTCTCAAGTTTCAGTTACTCCAACAAACAACGAGCAGAGACGCGGCAGTGAGCGAGGCCTACCTGATACCACACATGTGAATTTCACATTACAGTTTTCTGACACTGCCTTCGATTTCAAGGTGGTGTCAAAAGACGGCTGTATGTCTTCAGTCAGCTGAGCCATGACGCTGCACAATGTGCTCCTGGAGAGAAACACTCATACATTAGAAAGACAATTTCCTGCTTCAGATGGTAGACAGATAATGTTACACTTCATTTTAGTGACCTCTTCACCTCTGTGCAGGACATTCCAATTACTTTCTTAAATGAGAGGAAAAGATGTTAATGGAACTTTTTGGTAGTGACGACAGTGTGAAAGAGTGACACAGAAACTTGTGAGATGTCAAGCAAAAACAAAGGTGTCAGCACTGAAACTGATGTAGATGACTGAACTCACTGGACAGACTAGACACTTACATTACAGTTAAAACTCGTGTTGTTTTCACTCTCGGGGTAAACCAGTTTTTGTGGTTAACATGTTAGTTGGGAGGAGTGTTTTAAAATAGAGATTACCTCGTTGGTCTGTAGTGAGAATACCTTGAATAGCTATTCAGAAAGGAGGCAAATGAAGGAATGTCAGTAATTAATTAAGATCTACATATATGGAACCCACCTGAATCAAATTTTTCATATCTGTCCTCCTCTTCAACAAAAGGAACATTTTATTTTTCTTACATGATGTAGATTACACAAACACATGTTGCTTTATATAATAAATATGATTTTTGATTCACAGCGTGTGTGTGTGCTTAACTCTTTCCTAGAAATCGATGGTTTGACGACCTGCATTATTTATGTTTCCAGCTACCTTATTAAAATCTAGAGAGAAATTTTCCATAATGTTCATGTTTGTCTTAATTTAACCTGCCTGACCCAGATGCGTCTTCTCGACCACCATGCAACATAAATCTTTTAAAATATGAATGTGCTTCGTAAGAAAAGAAATTTACATGCTTTGCAAAAACATAGATTATAGATGAGACTCTCTACCTGTTTTCAGGCCTAACGTTGGAGAGGTAAGTACTGCGGCTTTCCGAACGGCCATTGGAAGAGCCGCTGTCCTCCTCACTGAAGCTGCTTGTCCTCCCATTGCCAGAAAAAGAGCGAGTCATTGGCCTTCTGGAAGTCATTGTCCACGGAGGCAATTCACCAACGTATTAAATCCAAGATATCACCCACAGTACAAGACTGCTCTGTGTTCGCAGCCACTGCTTGTCGAAGATCAAGGCTCAAAGTTAATGGTGGTATCCATGTAAAAGCTCCTGGTGAAGAAAAAAATAAACACGTCAGAGAAATAACAAATTCTGCTGGAAGTTAGTTGAGGAAAGTATAAGACACAGTCTGGGCTATTTTCTTATACAAAACTCAAACACACAGTTCTGACTCAATGCTTGTCCTTTCTGACCAAGCAAAGCACTTGCATTGGAGCAAGTTATAAATAGGATCAGCTATCAGGTTGTGGAAGGGCTGTTAGTGGTCAAACACAAACCTAAGACATGTTATTTACTTGTATGTGTTAGGAAAGCAGTTGAAGTGTGTGTTAGTCATGATAAACCTTGGTAAAATTTTCCAACTCACCATGAAGATGTTGTCGGTGTTGTTTTGGAGCCAGAGTGTGTGAAGAAAATCTTTGTAACCGCCTATCATAGACATGCATGTGTTGCCAGCAGGGCCCTATTTATAGCAGGCCCACAAATAGGTGCTGGAGCACATCAGATTTTCCGAAACTAGACTTTAGACTTCACAATTAAATCTAAAAACTAAACTGAGTTTCAGGCAAAACCTAATCCTTTTAACCAGAACACGCTCCTCGAAATCACACCTCAAATTTCATCAACAGTCACGATGTAAAAAAATCTCACTGCTTTGTTTTGATCCAACTCAACAAGTTGGAAAAACAGTTCCCATCTTGGTGAGACACTGTAGCAGAGTGAATGTGGACTTGCAAAACATGTCTATGGAATATGGTTCATGATGTAGCTGATGACAAGCAATGGTTTATGCCCTATGCTTTGCTCAAGTGTTGCTAAAGGACGGCCCCCCTCACTTTGTGTTGCAACACATGGTCAAATCATGGTCACCCTCTTGTTGCTCACATTTCACATCAGACACAAACAGGCTTACAAGATCTATGCTGTGATTTAAGGATGAATGTTGTAGAATACTGATTGACCTTTACTTTTAATTGTAAGAGTTTTAGATATCTCTTTAGCTTTTTAAAGGATACATTCAATTTGCTTCTGGATTTGAAATTGATTTGTAATTGTATCTTTGTATTATAAATCCTATTTATCATTTTACAGTTGCATTCCTGGCACTGTTTACTGGAGTGACAGCAGCTATCTGTTATATTGTGGCCACACCCCTTCGGATTTTAGGCTTTATGGCTAAATACAGTTAAAAAATATAGATATATGTAGCTTTAGCAAACAAACAAACAAACAAAACACATCCTTAAATCAGGTGAATATATGTATTTAAACCTAATGATCATTTGTAAATATGGTGTCTACCTATATGCCAGTGTAAAAGGGAGGCTAAAAGGAATATACAGTAGATATATTATATATTTTAAAGTACACAAAAAGTAGTAGTTCAAAATAAACATTACCAGGCATTTTGTTTAAAAATATATTTTATTTAAAGGTTAATGAAAGGCCAACAAGAGTTTATACATATCCTAAAACATGTGGACATGATTGAATATTTTTAAATGACCTGTCACATTATAATGTGGTAAATGTTTTGCAATAAGACAGTATACACACATTGTATTATTATTATAAAAAATGTAGGAAAGATGTTGTGTGCTACGATGTAGGTCCAATTTTAAAGTCTGTTTACTGTGACTTATATGGTTTTACTTCCTAAACATACCACTAATAAATCTAGCATATGGCTCCTCTATCTCCAGTGCGTTCAGTTTTAAAGGCAAATGTTGACTTTGTGAGTCTCCAAACTCTGACCTCAGCCTGTGATTTGTACAGCACCTGAAAAGCATCCAGATTGCTCATTACCGTAATGCCAGGAAATGGAATTTTACTTGCATATCCCTTCACCAGTTTACATGATTGACATCTACCTAACCGGTGCAGACTTGACTCTTTGGGTGTTTTTCAAATATAAAACACCATGTTATTGTATAACTAAAAGAACACGAATTGAGCCAAAGATGATATTTCACTATTGCCATTCTGAAAGACGCTCCTTTACTGTACTTTACGGTAAAGTGTGTGCGCTCTGTCTCGTTCCGGGAAAGGAAGCGTTGTTCTGTCGATATATCGAAGTTATGAACGGTGAGTTCACACATTCTTGCGGAGCTGCTCAACAGGTGCGAGGCTGTCGGCAGGTATGCATTAAAAACATGTATATTCGTAGTCATATTAAACACTGAGAGGTTTGTTGTCTTAAATAGGACATTTCTAACAGTGTTGTTGTCTACGGTGTACTGTTAAAGCTGACTTTACCAGAAATGAGAAGTTGGCGACTGAGGCGAAACATTTAACACGGCGATTTCCTAATGCTAGTAGTTTATGTAACTTTTGTGTCGGGCTTTTAGCGAATGGAGTTGCTTCATTTTTTTAATTTGCTTTTTTTTTTTTTTTAGTCTGTATAACAAAAAGAAAATGCACTGATGACTGGATCCCGTCCCAAGCCCTGCCAAATGATGATCAGAGGTATGTTGTGCTCTCCACACCACCACAGCACCGTTTCTTTTCGTCACTTGCACATTTAAGTGTAATTTCAGACGACTGAAATTCTGACCCGGTTTGTTTCAGACATTGTCATCGTGCAGCATCCTGTCTGTGTGTGTGTTCCTGCGAACCACACGGTGACCCTGCGTGTCCGCGCTGAGGGCACAGGCATCCTCAACTACCAGTGGTTCTCTGAACATGACAAGCAGGTTTGGGGATTTTACAACAAAATAAACTCACCTAAAACATAATACTCAACAATTTTGAATGGTTGTTGCTGTGAATGCTTGTTCTGATGTTCTGCTCTTTCCTAAAAAAGAGATCTGATCTCAATTATCAATACAAGACAAGTGAAGATATTGAATAAAAAACATCTTTACTGATTTTTATTTTTTTCCCCCCATCAAGGTGCCTGGCGGTACTCAAGCAGACCTGACCATCAGAGCTCAGAAAACTCAGCTCTATGTGTGCAGAGTGAACGACCAGTTCTACAACTACGTGTTCTGCGAGTGGGTGAAGGTGAAGGTGTTGGACATTGATAAATCAGGTAAGGCTTTTCTGACATTGTCACGTTGATTTATCATGTACACGTGTGTTGCTGGCATCGTTTTGTTGTTTTGCACATTTACAGCAGAGCCCTATGCGTGTTGCTCGTTTCCTGTGGGTTTCTAATGACTTTCTTTTCAACCAACAGGCCTGCCAGCTCATTGGCAGGGTGAGCCACACATTGCTATCAACCCTAAACCGCAGAAAATTCATCATGGTGCAAAACTCACTCTCCGCTGTGCTGCCTTTGGAATCCCTGCTCCACGTTATCAGTGGTACAGAAATGGACAGCCACTGCTGGACAAGACTAGTGACACAGTGCAGGTAAGGAAGCGAGTGTTTATTGACCTCCCTGCTGATAGTGACTTGTTTACATTTTGCTGTCCTTTTATTGAATCATACACTATTTAACAGCTATGTAATTTATTTAGTTTACATACCTAATGTTATCTCAAAAGTATGAATTGTGGTATAGTAAACATAAGGACATGATTGGAAAGATAAACAATATAACCTATCATACTTGCAGATTGACCGTACAACAGCTGAACATGCAGGATCCTACCTGTGCTCAATATCTAACGTGCTAGAGGAGAGATGGACTGAAGCAGTCGATGTTGACATTGGTAAGTCATAACTAAAACTACTGTTATCAGCGCTGTAAAAATCTGTCTTTTCCCAATATTAGGGTTGTATTTTCCATTTTCCTCTGACTCTACTTCCCCTTTTTCTAATAAAAGAGGTGTGAAGAAAATCTGTTTTTCCTCCCATGCTCTTCATGCCACGGATTTAGCTCTGAGGGTTTGAGTTGTTTCCATTATGCTGGAGGTACTTTCCAATTTCTACAAACTAAAAAGGAAGTTGTTCGACTCCAAATGGTACTTGGTCCGAGCCTTTGACACACAACAGGAAAGTGATGTAAAGTGAAACTAGCTCTTGCGGTGTTTCTCCTGTTTACAACTTACAGTGTGGTGTGGACAGAGAATATGGCAAAAAAGAAAAAAGAAAAAACGTTTTTTTATAGTGCTCTGTAGATTTCCCCCACCTAAAATCAGTACCAGTACTTTAGTTCAGACTGGAGTTAACAAAAACTGATTTTGTGCCTTTTTTTCACATCCTCTAGTACAACCTGAGCAGCTTGTTCCTGCGGCACCCACAGGTATGGTTTAATGGAAAGAAACACAGAGTCATGCTACTCCTGATCACAGCACGTACTACAGTTTCCTTGTGTTAATATGACTACCTTTGATCTTCTTTTTAGCCACTGATAAAGTTGCCCTGCTTATTGGCAACCTGAATTACTTGCACCACCCGCGCTTGATGGCCCCCATCATGGATGTACATGAACTGGGTAACCTCCTGCAGCAGCTTGACTTTAGAGTTGTTTCCTTACTGGATCTCACCAGGGAGGAGATGCTGGCTGCTATCGACAAGTTCATCGAGCTCCTTGACAGAGGAGTTTATGGTGAGTACAATTTCCCTATATGGACTTCTTTCTGAATTGGGTACTAATCAGCTAAATGGCAACGATTCAACTTCTGTCCTTGGAGAAATGATTATTTTGGAATTTAATGATTTTTGTGGGATCTAAAATGTTGTCATTTGTCACGTGCTGGGGTCTTTATCCGCTGTTGTTTTGTTGCCAGGGTTCATAAACCCATAAATGATTTACAGTGTCTTACTTTATATATGGCTAAGTAGGCAGATAAGGGTAAAAAGAAGTATGTATGGTGCTTCATGAACGCTTGTAACACTGTAGGAGAGTAGGTGTACATAGTATTTGTAAGTGTATTTTAAAATCAGGAAAAGAAAAAACCCCGACTAAACTCCTTTTTCTTTATGTGTATGATATTCGGTTATACAGTGTTGCTCTGTTTGACTTAATACGTACAAGCAAATAGCTTCAACAGTGAGTCATGTTGTGTAAAGGACTACTATTATTAACCAGCAGGCACGTACACACTATAAACATAGAGCTGTAATATAGAGTTGTGTTGATGACCAGATTTAAACAGCGATAGGTAATGCTTCATCAGAATGATACCACCTGTCACTGTTCTCTCTTTCTGTTGTTCATAACAAAAGCAAAGATAAACTCTTGATCAGTCAGATGTGTTTTGAAGCATACTGCGCTTATTGCTCTCCTGAGTGACTTCCAAATATCATGTATGATTAATCCCAGAATTGCACAATCTGTGCGGTGCAAAATGTGTCATCTATGCTTCTTGCTGTCTTGCAGTGGTAACTGGATGTGTTGGTTTTTTTGTTTTTTTAATCACTCTTGACAGGCCTTTTCTACTATGCCGGTCATGGGTATGAGCATGCTGGGAAGAACTACCTGGTTGCTGTTGATGCTCCGCAACCGTACAGAACTGAAAACTGTGTCTGTGTGCAGAGGGTCATGCGCCAAATGCAGGAAAAGCAGACAGCACTGAGTGTGATCCTGCTGGATACCTGTAGAAAATGGTAAATGCAAGAATGAATTTCTGTTTTCACAACAGGACTGTGATACATGCATTTTCGCGATTATTTGTAAACTAACGATTGTACATCATTCAAATCAGTTAATGTTGCTGTAAAATAAATCTCAGTGAAACACATTCTTCTAAAAAGTGCATTTTTCTTTCTGTAGGTACAACCAGCATTGCATACCATCAGTCATCAT